ACCTACTGAGAGAGGAAAATACAAGTTGTTCTTCATCTTTTCACTCTACTTAGCCTGTTCTCCTTGTAGAAGAGGGGACTTGAGTTACAATACTCAGAATATCGATTCAACATTGTAGTTTTTACCGCTGCAATGTCAGGAGATGAGTTATCTCGGAGGGAGGATTTAATTCCCAAATCCCGGTTGTAAAAAATCTAAGCGAATAATGGATTGTAGCAGGAATTTTATTACTGTAAAGTGTCTTCCAAATTTTTGAGGGTCAGTTCTGCCAGCCATAGATTATCCTCCTGGAAAACAATTTATGCCCAAGAGACTTTAAGAGCTAAACTAACTTCCATCAACTGGAGTGAAATGCATTCTTTTAAGGTTAAATGTTGGTAAATCTGGGTCTTCCTTGTGTGACTATAGATTTAGGTTTTTTGTTTTTTTTTAAAAGCTTCTTAGTAAAAATGCTGATAAAGGATTGAAAGATTTATTTCTAGCTGTGAGCAAAATCTAGACTTGATTCTACTTAATCAATCCTCTAAGTATATCTCTTCTAGATAAGACAAAAAAATCTAGATTTTTCACCTTACCTGGATAAAATAAATTGCCGTTTACATATTTTAGGAGAACTGGAAACTTAGGAGACAATTCGTACATGGCTATTCAAGAATAATAATAATAAATCTCTTTTTGGGAGGCATGAATGCAATTCCAGATAGTGAGATTGCACCTTATCTTCCCATGTTTTTCTTGGTTTCTCCCGTTTTTTCTTGGCTTAAGTCAGGGGTAGGCAACCTTGGCTCTTTTATGACTTGTGGACTTCAACTCCCAGAATTCCTGAGCCAGCATGGTTCAGCTTGGAAACCTCTCCATTTCTCCTCAGCATGGCTGGCTCAGGAATTCTGGGAGTTGAAGTCCACGAGTCATAAAAGAGCCAAGGTTGCCTACCCCTGGCTTAAGTGGAACATTTGAGTTTCACGCCAATTGTTTTCATATACTTTCATATACTTTAATGTGGGGAAGCAGCGTTTTGGGGTTTAATTTCACTGTGTCTTGCACTTTATCATGGGTTCTCTCATTGTGTAGACTGGGTCAAATTGGTTGTGTTAATGCAGCGTTCCCCAACCTTTCTGGATTGGCGGCCTGGTGCGGGGGGGGGGGAAGGGAGGAAGAAGGGATAGTTTTGTGTGAGGGGCAGACGCGTCTCACACAAAAGTAAGTAAAGACTTACATTAAAACAAGCTGACCATGGTTTGGGGTCTTTCCCCCCCCCTTGTTTCTTAAGGTGTGAGAGAGTCCCTCCTGCTTTTAAATTACCCAGCAGACTTTTCTTTGTAAATTCAAGATCAAAGGCCTCATGAGAATGACATGACATCCCAATGATGACTTTCTTCTGATCATAGGCAACCTTGGCTCTTTTATGACTCGTGGACTTCAACTCCCAGAATTCCTGAGCCAGCTGTGCTGAGGGGAAAGGGAGAGATTTCCAAGCTGAGCCATGCTGGCTCAGGAATTCTGGGAGTTGAAGTCCACG